ATTAGTATGGAAGCTGTACGATGACAAAATTGGCTTCTGTCGTAAAATGAAAAGCGTTTAACTTGGAGATTCAAAGACATCTAAATTTTTTTTTATTTTTTCCTGCTTAGTTGCTACTCTGACCCTGTTGTCTACACATAAAATTTCTATGTCAGCCTGTTTTCCTATAGTCTTGTTGACCGATTGCAAATTTTAGAAACAGCCTTATTTTTCTACACAGCTCTTAACTCTGTAGAAGACCATAAAGTAACATTTTTCTATCGGTGCATCTTTGCTGGGAATGCTTTTACGTGGCTAGAAAAGTTCCCTCAAAATTTTGTTTTATTCAGCAAGGAGCTCATTGCAAAAATAATCATCTGACCCGGAACACCTGCCCAGGTGAAAGAAATGTGCAGCAGCATAGCTATCCGAAATAGTTACACATGTGGAAGTTCTCTGTTATATGCAAGTTCTTGCATTTAATAAGTATGGTGATGAACAGCCAAAGCTGCAGACAGCAGCTGACTGGGGTGCCATCAGTCTCATTAATTTTTTGCAATTACCCTAGGAATGTCTAAAAGTTAACTCGTGCTCTTGAGAGCTTTTGAGACCATTCACCATGTGAATCGCTCAAGGTGGAAGAGGGTCTTCTGGCATGCCAGTCTGGCTTCCTATAAAACAATTAGATACTTCACTTGTTACAGATTTTTTTTTTCTTTTTTTTTGTTCTGGATGAATATTTTTTCAGAAAAGCTGAAATTTGCCAGTCATGAAGTATCTTACAGCTGTTCCTTTGTGAAGGGAAGTCTTTGACCCAGTTGCTAAAGCTTTCAGAGCGTGCCTGGTGTCAGCAGTACAGTGTCTTCAATGCAGTATTCTGCTGCATAGTTTTAAAAATATTATAAGAAACAACAAACAGTGGAACAGTAATAAAATTCTTAGGATTATTTTGCTAGGAATTATTTGGTTTAATACGTTGAAGACCTTTATTTTGAGCTATGTGGACTGGGAGGATCTTCACAGATCATCAGATATAATCTCTTCCTGTTGCATCCGTGTAAATCTTTCATAAACAAATCATAGTGCATTTTAAGGTTTCTTTAGTCCCTGCTAGGTCAACCGGAAAGCTGTCCCAGAAATTCCTCTCTCTGTTGGTTAAACCTCTAATATGATATAGCTTATGCATACTTTAATGTTGGCATGAGAATAATTTAAATAGATTTTTCACTTTCCTTGTGCTTCTCCTTTCCCTAGTCCCACAGGACGACCTTCTTTGTCTTCATTTTGCAGCTAAACAAACCAAGTTCTCTCGGTTTCCTCTTGTGCGGTAGGGCCTCATTTTCCTTGGCTATCTTAATAGTCCTTGTCTACGTTTATTTTAGCTTGGAGAGCTAGCTAGCTTCCACAGATGTTTTTGCCTACGTCAAGGATTTATTGCACACCCATGGCTTTGGAGCATATTCTTACATCCTAGAGGTTTGAACAAAAGAATGGCAAGCCAGGGCAGTAAACAAGACATGCGGTCTCCGGTTGTTTCATGCCATTTGCTCAGGGTGGATTCATCAGTCGTAGGCAGTTTGAAAGCCATAACTCATTTCCTCTGCTTCAGTCAGTTCTCTAATCTCACATCCATTAAGAGTTATCTCTGAATAATGAATGGAGAATCCATTAAGAAGGGGAAAGGGCCAATATAGTACCTTTTTTTCTTTAAAAAAAAAAAAAGGAAGCACTCCAGGTTCTTTGCTTTTTCCCTCCCCAGCTTTCTTTTCATCCATTAGCTTAGCTTCAGTTGCCAGAAAAAAACACTGGAGGAGTTAACTAAGCAGGTTAGTGGTAGGCGCATAGGACATGACAAGTAATGAGTAACAACTCAGTGTTGTCAATGCCGAGTTGTGTAAAATCAAGCTGAATTCTTACTGTGATGGCTACTGGCCTTGTCAGGAGGGGAGAAGTCATAGATGCTGTACGTCTTGATGGTTTTGGTAAGGCTGACGCTGTCCTGCTTGATACAAGCAAGTTAGGGGGAAGTGACTTAGGTGAAGACACTACCAAGTGGATACAAAACTCGTGGCAAGAGAAATGTGTAAGAGTTCTGTTGAGATATTTTGCAGGAGTCTGTCCTGAATTTCATGATAGGCAATGTTTTCTTTAATGGTTGGGATAAGGGAATAGAGTGCATGGTTATTGTATTTAAGCTAAGCAGGAACAGATGAAGTTGCAAAGTATAAATTGTGTAGAGGACTGGATTATAATTCAGATTGCTTTTGACCAACTGGAGAAATGTCACGGAAAAAAGTCCTGTGGAATTCAGTAGAGACAAATGCAAAGTTATCAAGTTCAGTATGTGTAATCAGTTATTTGAATGTCAGAAAAATCTGCTTTATCATGAGGAAAGGGAGTAGGATGTGTAAACGGGCATGCCCAAGTCTTTAGAAAATATTCCTGCATGAGCCTGGTAAGACTTCTGCTGGAGTAGTGTCCTGGTTTTTGTTTAGACATGGGCATATTGGAGGGAGTCCAGAGACTGATCAGTGAGGCTGCATATCTTAGACCTTTGGCCAGTGAGTAAGTTCTTTAGAACTTGAGGTGGCTTGAGAAAATTCAGAGAAGGTGCAAGAGCTGTGTTTGAGTATGCAAAAAGTAGTTGTAGAAAGAAGGGAAATGAACTCCTCTAGTCCCCTATGAAAGGTACGATGAGGATTGACGGCCTTAATTTGCACAAAGGAAAACCCAAGGGTGCCATCAGGAGAAACTTTCAAATGGGACAGAAAGGAAGAGAGAAGGGGGATTCAAGCCAGCAGTCGTCAGAGGTCTCCAGCAGCACATCGGGCATCTTCCAGGAATAATGTGGGTACCCCTCAACGTTTTGTAGAGCCAGGGAATGGACTAGATTGCCTCTTGAGGCTGCTGCCGGAGAGCCAGACCTCTGCGCGGCATGGCCTGTTGGAACACCTCTGAACAACGTGGTGCTCGGGTTTAGGGCCCGCCCCTATCCCTCCTCCTCTGCTCTTTGCCCTCTTCCTGGTGTTTGCCATTTCCTAGGAGGAGATAAAACCTCGGGAGCAGTTGGCCTCAAAACAGTGATCTGGGGTCTGAGCCAAAGAGATCCAATAAGACTCTTCAAGAAGAAACTTTGTAGAGCATTTCCCCTCCATCTCAGGAGGTTTTCCTCCATGGCATGTTCAGGCTTCAGGGCTTTTAATGTACTCCCCCTTCGCCAGCTGATACTTGGCCAGAAATCTGACGTGCGCTTAAACAAACTGATTTGGCAACTGCAGTCAGCGTTTGTTGGGTCAGCTCTAGGTGACGGGGCGGTGGGGAGAGCCGAGTTTTCGCAGGACTCGGTGCCTGGTGGTGTCCGCGTTCTGCCAAGGCGTTCGCTGTGACCTCGGGAACAGCTGAGAGGGAAATGAGCTAGGTCAACTCCAGTCCGTGATCTTTTCTGAGGTTACTAGTTTGTGAGCGAGGAAATGTGGGGCAGGGGGGGATGCTGTGCCTTTCTGAAGGTGGTTTAATCTCAATTTAGACCAGTTTAAATTTGGAGACTCCTTTGATATTCTACCTTGTGTGAGTAGTGTCACTGAAAACTGTCTGTGAACGTGTACTCTGTTAGGTTTCTGTCCTCTGAAAGATGCTAGAATACACCGTTAACTCTTAATTCTCAACTTAATGGCACGCAAGTTTGTGTAACCAAATCTCATGCATTCCATCACAGAACTCAAAATTAGGTGGGTAAATACATACTGTCATTAATCCTGCATGATCAATTTTCACCATATTGCTTATAGAAATCGACAACTTGTAGTTACAGTACATCTTCTAGATTTACTTTTCCTGCACTTTGATCTAAAATTTCAGGGATATACATATGTAAGATCTCGTTAAAACTTTATAAAACTGATCTGAAAACAAAATTCTTCTCAGTTTTAAGTCCCAAGCTCCAGAAAATGTTGAGTGATTGTCTTTGTGGCTGCTCAGCAGCTGCTGAAATGTGGAACTGTGGATCTTTTTGGGCATTGTCGTGGTGTTGACTGGGTAGTTGGGTCAGGTCATCGCCGGTTGCAGTTCCAGACTCTGCTGACTTCGACAGCGGCACTGCTAAACAGCCTACAACATTTTGGGAACTTCCTACAGAGACTTGAGTACTGAGTCACCTGGGTTTGGGCAGTGTCTAATCAGGCTGGTCAGTGGTTGTGGTATGTAACTTAAAAATTGTAGACGGGGTTTTAAGGTGGCTTATTTTTACGTTCATTTGGGCAGAACTGGTTGGTAACTGGAGAGAGTGTCTGGGACGATGGCATTTCTGGGGTTGTTCAATTGCTCCCGCTGCTGGAGCTCATGGTCCTGTTGAAGAGTTGGTAGAGCATTTCTTGCTCCTGTTTTCGTCCTGTCCGCTACTGGGTTCCACCGGGGCTCAGAAGTCTGAGACACTTCCCCGAAATACGAGACTTGGAAATAAAAGTTTCTCCTTTTGGGTGCAAGTTTCAAGTTGTCAATAAATATACAAAGTTTACAATTAACAAATTCCTACCATGACTTGGTACTGGGTTTATTTATTGTAGTAATGTACCAGAAGACCTACTGCAACTTACCACTTTGCTGTTCAACAGGTAGCGTCATCTTCTGCCACCATCGTCCTGTAAACCCAGTTAAGCAGCCCAGTGTCTTTTATCTCTGTCGTAGTTGACTCTGAAATGTGTTTTTAAAAAAACAGTCCCCTTTAAAGTAAAATCCAAAAGGGAAACTTCAAGCCCTAAGTTTCTGTACCCTCATGAACCTGGCTGACGGAAGCTTGCCCTTTTTGTTCTCTGTTCAGCTACGTCTGGGAGGGAAGGGGCCTTCCTTGAAGCTGCTGCTGATGCACATTGGAGCGTGTCCTACCGCTCTTTGAAAACATTGCACATCCCTCGGTAGTGGTGCAATAGAGCACGTACCGCGCCATGCACGCTTGTCTGACAGATACACCGTGCTGGTTTCTTTAGAGCTCGCCTCTGATATGTACTTCTGTCTGTTTTTTGCAGGGACACAGCGGGGCAGGAACGATTTCACACCATCACCACCTCCTATTACAGAGGTGCCATGGGGATCATGCTAGTATATGACATCACCAATGCCAAGAGCTTTGAAAACATCAGCAAGTGGCTCAGAAACATAGATGAGGTGAGTAATGTCTGTAAGATCCCGCAACTGAGCTGTTTGTTGTGACCCGTAGAGCATGTGATGAGTCCCACAGAACTCGGCTTCTCGGTTGCAGCTTCTGCTTCTGCCCTGGCAGAAGGTGTAGTGTGTAAATTAACACAGGGGGTTGGGTGCTGTTCGTAGGCTGGCCTGTGTCCTGTGTTCCCTCCCTCAACTCTCCCTTCAACAACGGCGTGAAGGATCACAACACTGCGCAGGGGCTAGTGGTGTCCTAAATTGTCAAATCCACACACGAGCAAACTTTGTTTCTGTGCTGGAGAGCACTTAAAGGTAAGGAATACGTCTTGTAGTACCTGGGAGTTGCAGTTTTTCGGAGGAGCTGCCACCACGAGGTGATGTGCAGGGGAGCAACGCTAAGCCATGAGCTGTAGAGTAGCTATAGAATATGCCGCTTCTAGTACTAACCTATTTCATAAGGATGACTATGTAAATCCTCAAAGATAATTAAATATGATCACCTCCGCTCCCTCAAAATTGCTGTCATGAAATATTTGCAAGTTTATCGTGGCTGTCGGAGGCAGTATGGCAGACTGCTGTTGTGGATGTCAGCGAACTGCTCAAACCCGTATAGCTGATTTTTGTCCTTGTTAGAGGAGTACCAAACAAGGAGGCTGGAAAAATTTCAAGCAAGGTCAAGTGAAGCAGAAGAAATAGATGTGGAAACATTCAGTGCCTGGATCCCCAAGAGTTCATTCTCCAAGAGTTCTGAGATGTTAGAGAGCAGCACGACTGTTAGTTCTTGCTTTTGCTATGCTATTCCCAAATGGAATAAATGTTTAGATTTTCCAGCTTTGTTATTTTCCTAGAAAACATGAAGATGGCCCTGTAGAACTGAGCGTCAGCAGATGGCTGCTGTCGGGCATTGCTAGTTGAAGTGTTGAGGCTGGTGAAAGGTTCTTACAGAGCAAAAATGTGATATCAGGACTTTAATTTCCTAGCATGAGAAACGGGAAACTGCTCTTTATAGACAGGTACACATTTTGACGGGTGCAGAAGGCGGGTGAGGGGGAAGTAAGGCAGCACAGGAAGAGACTCAGCGGTGAGCTGAATATAAACTTGAAACCAAGGCCTTTAGATTCTGCAGTTGCTTTGTTTAAAAAAATTTAGTAGTATCCAGGAAGTTGAGTAATGGATGTCATTCATACCATTGTGTCTGAGAAGTGACTGTTTCTGCTGGCCTCATGTTTTCAAATCTGTCTCTCGCAAACCTCTGCAGCTGATTGCAGGTGCATTGTGAAGGCTGCTCTGTTACTGCAGTTTTATAAGGGATGTTTGACACCTTAGGAAGCTTTTTTTTTTATTATGGAAGAAGCTCACTAACAGAGTGCGTTTTGCAGCAATGATGGCTGAAGTCATCCTCTGAGGTTCCAGATGCAGCGCTGAGGCTTCTTGCTAAAATGTGTGGCCAGTGTACCCACTCATGTACAGGATTATTGCAAATGATGGTTGTGAATGAAGTAGCTAAGTGCTTTGGTTTTATGAGGATTTAATATTGCCAAGGATATTCTCTCAAGGAGGAGAATTTTCAGTAAGCAAGCTGCTGTTCTGAATTGCTATTCTGTGCAAGGAGACTTCTACAGGATACTTAAGCCTTGATTTAGAAATAGCCAGGAAACCTAGAGACGTTACACCTTCATCCTTGCTAAATACTTAATTATTTAAAGGTCACACTCTCTGCAGAGGTGTACTATGCTGTGTGCTTTTGCTTTGGGCTGGTAGGAATTAGTTGAGTTGCTCAAGGGCACAGTTCTGTACGTTGGAGCTGGCTGTATTTGAAAGAAGTCTGTTGCTGTTTAAGCAGTTTTGTGTGTGTGCATGAAAAGTCAACATTTTCAGAGTCTTATTCTACACGGTATCTTAATCTGCCTTTGCTGTCTGATTGCTCTTCCTCCTTGTGACCTGAAGGAAAAAAACCTGGGGGTGATTCTCCCGAGGAATGTGAAATGGGTTATTACTGTAAGTAGGAGTGCTGGGTACATGGATCTCTTGCCTCTGTAGTTGTATTAGTAATTCTACCGTAAAGTAGTATTAAGACTGTCGAAGTGAAAGTAAATTCAAATCACACTTTCCAAGAAGCTTCTCATGGCAGGTTTCAAAGTACTTCATAGAATCACAGAATGGTTTGGGTGGAAGGGGACTACTAAAGGTCATCTAGTCCAACCCCCTTGCCGTGGGCAGGGACACCTTCCACTAGATCAGGTTGCTCAAAGCCCCAGAGCTGCTCCAGCCCTCGGACCATTTCTGTGGCCTCCTCTGGCCCCGCTCCAACAGGTCCCTGTCTGTGCCGTGCTGAGGGCCCCCGAGCTGGGCGCAGGGCTCCAGGGGGGGCTGAGCAGAGCGGAGCAGAGGGGCAGAGCCCCCTCCCTTGCCCCGCTGGCCACGCTGCTGGGGATGCAGCCCAGGGTGGGCTTGGCTTTCTGGGCTGCCAGTGCACATTGCCAGCTCATGTCGGGCTTTTCATCCCCCAGCACCCCCAAGCCCTTCTCCGCAGGGCTGCTCTCCATCCCTTTGGCTTAGCTTTCCTAACCTGATCCCTGGCTGCTCAGACAATTTCTCCGTATTCCTCACAGGCTACTTGTCCTTGCTTCCACCCTCTGTAGGCTTCCTTTTCATGTTTGAGTTTGTCCAGGAGCTCCTTGTTCATACATGTCTGTCCTTCCTAAAGAACCTGTATCCTTCCATTCCAACACTCCAGTCAAAGGAGCCATCCCACCACATCCCCATGATGCCCATAAGATCATAGCCCTGCAGGCACGCACATGTCTAACTCCTCTTGTTTATTCCCCTTGCTATGTGCATTTGCAGAGAGGCATTTAAGTTGGGCTCCCCAATGAAGCTGACTTCCTGGCTGGAGTGGCTGGAATTCCTTTATGCTGCTCTCCTGCTGACCTGTGATCCTTCTCCAGGCTCTGGGCACCTATTGCTGGCACTGGCATTAAACTGGTAGGAGTGGGATGGATTAAGGTTCTCCTCCCCCAGCAACTTTCATTTAAATCCCTCTTCACCAGCTTGGCAAGCCTGTGGCCAAAGATGCTCCTCCCCTCCTCTGACAGATGGACCCCATCAGCCCCCAGTAGACCAGGTTTTTCAAAGCCAGTCCCGTGGTCTTAAGTAGCCAAACCCCTGGCTGTGGCACCAGTCCTGTAACCATTTGTTGATTTGACTGGCACTTTCAAATCCCTTCCCTTTGACTGGGAGGATTTATGAAAAAACTACCTGTGCTCCAGAGTCCCTTACCGCTGCTCCCAAGGCTCTCTAATCCTTCTTGATACTCCTCAGACTGCTCCTGGCTGGATCACTGGTGCCCACGTGAAACAGCAGCAGTGGATAATACTTGGTGGATTGTCCAAAGCTTGGTAGTCTCTCAGTGACATCCCTGATACGAGCCCCCGGTAAGCAGCACATCTCTAGAGAGTGCGTCAGGTCATGGAACCATCGAATCGTTTAGGTTGGAAAAGACCTTGAAGATCACCCAGTCCAACCATTAACCTAACACTACCAAGTCCACCACTAAACCAATTCAGGGGAGAGGAAGAATTAATTTCATGTTTCCTGGCTTGGTGGCTGCATTATTTTTTCATGAAAGTAAAACCAGGAATCACTAAGGTTGGAAAGGCCCTCTAAGATCATCAGCCCAACCATCAACCCAACACCCCCATGCCCACTAAACCATGTCCCCAAGTGCCACCTCTGCCCATTTATTGAACCCCTCCAGGGCTGGGGACTCCCCCACCTCTCTGGGCAGCCTGTTCCAATGCTTGACCACTCTTCCCGTGAAGAAATTTCTCCCAATATTCAATCTAGGTAGGCAAACGAGTGCCTCTGTACCTCTCAGAAGAGGGTCGCCTACGACTATCAACTGTTGCCTTTTCTTAGTTGTGCCGGTTGCTACATGGGGAGTGGATCGGGCTGCCTTACTCAGCTCCAGCATCTCTCCTGGTGCGATGGGTCTTTCCTCTTCAGCCTGCAGAGTGGTGAAGTGGTTCTGCAAGGGCAGCTCGGGCTTCGGGGGAAGCCTCTTCCTCCTGTTGGCCCTTGCCGTTGCACCCATCCATTCTTCTGCATCATTGGCCCCGCTCCCTTCTGTGTGCGCTGGTGGGGGAGTTTTTGGCTGTTTGGCTGTGGGCTGTGGGTCCACTGCGGGCTGCGCTCGGAACCGGCTATCTAACCCCTTCTCAGCCTCCCTGATGTTACGCAGCCGCCTTCTCGCCGCCTCCTGCAGCTCAGCCGCTTGCTGTGGGAGGTCCTCCACCCGGGCACAACTTTTGCAGGCAGGTCTGCTGCCCGTCCCTGCCTCAGGAGAAAGGTCCAGGCACCTCCTGCGGTCCGAGGTCTGCACTGCAGCCTCTCCCTTCAGCAGCTCTGGGTGGAGGCATCGGCCGCAGTCGGGGTAGGTGGTGCAGACCCCCCAGCCGGAGCTGCAGCCTTTGCTCTCAGACGAGCGCCCGCTACTTCAGTTATCCACTTAAGTGATGCTTTGCGCTGCGGCTGCTGGCACTTTTCTGCTAGTCTGGTGGATATCTTTGGTGTGTTCTTTCCTTACTATGATGGATATTGGCAGTACTTCAATAACTGAACAGCCAAGGTATTTTTGCTCGTTCAGCATTCCTTGAGAAAGCATTGTCACTCGCTTTTGCCTTACAAAGGCAATTCCCTGCTATGTCATCCTGCTTTTCCCTGGATCCTGAGCGTTAGCGTGGTGCTTGCTTCAGTTTTCCCTTTGTGATGTCCTGTTTTATGTTCGCTTGGTGTAGAGTCTGCATGCCATTTCACCGCATGAGTTTCTCAACGTCTGTGTGAAGTACGTAGCAGACGGAGCTGAAGCACAAAGCTGACATGCAGTCCTACTCTGATTGCGACACCAGCGGAACAGCACGATGCTAGAGCGCGGCAATTTCCTTTTGTTAGTTAACTCGGCAGCTCCTCTGCAAAAGTGGTTTTGACCAACTTCCTGGCTATTCGGCTTTGCGGTGGTTGAAAGCATAGTTGCAATTGTGAAGGAGACTTACCTGTCTACAATAAAACTATGCGAAGGACCCTTTCAACAGCAAAAAAAGTAGAAGTGGCAGCTGGAGCCGTTCTAGGGCGTGAAGCTTGATTGTTGGCAGCTGTAGACGTGGGGTTCTTCTTGTCTGGTAATGTTTTGTAGCATCATTTCTGTAATGTGCTTGTCTAGCATGCGTACAGCCTGACACCTCCGAGTGCCAGGCAGGAAATTGATTCTTTTCCCATGTCACTGAATGCAAACTAGCGAAGATTTGGTAGGCTGGTGTCATTAACTAGAAGCGTCCGGGTTGCAGAACAGCACTAAGTCTTTTTCAGAAAGGAAGACTTCACACTTAAACTACAGAAATGAAAAGGAAGGCGGAAAATAACTGGCATTGGGATGGTGATAGAGCTGTGTCAAACCTGTAGCTGGTGTCTCATTCCACTTCCAGGTTATATGAGCAATTTAGTCTAAAGGCACTGTCTGAAAAGTGATTTCTAGCAGTCTTCGTTACGACTCGGGAAAGTGCAGGACACCAAGACCTGTGAACGTTAGCCTGGACTTCAAACAGCCTGGAAATAGAGAAGTGAAGTAGATATTTACTGCTTGTTGGGGGAGACGTGTAAACCTGTCTCTTGTCTCATTTTAGCATGCCAATGAAGATGTGGAGAGGATGCTGTTAGGAAACAAGTGTGACATGGAAGATAAAAGAGTTGTCCCTAAAGCAAAAGGCGAACAGGTAAGCGTTGGACAAAAACTTTCTTATCAAAATAAGCAAATCGGTGCCAAGACTTCCCGCCGTCTCCAGGTGATTGAGATGCCACAACGGGATGTGCTGGGGAGCGAACAAAGCGGCTGGATTTGCTAATGGTTTGTAAGTCTAGGGAACTTAGACTTCAGTTTCTCAGAAGCTGCACTGCAAACAACTGCCATGAATGGAATGAGTTCAGCTGCAGTATCTGCTTTCTTTGATAACTAAAAATTTTCAGGCATCCTTTGTTAAGTTACTTACCATGTGACGGGCTTGTGTGGTATCTGTCGTTTTATATTCAGACGTTGACTTGTGATTTAATACACTTTAATTGCTGTTTCTGAATCATTAAGTTCCAAATCTCCTTTTGTGACACCTTGCCTAGCTAGTACTTCTGATGCCTGCTACGGCTGAAAGAATATTACATGCTTATAAATGCCGCTAATCCCGAAGTTACAGCAGCAGCGATTGAATAACTCTACAGTAACGCTAACCACCTTCTTTCTTTTTTGGTTTAGATTGCTAGGGAGCACGGTATTAGGTTTTACGAAACTAGTGCAAAAGCAAATATAAACATTGAGAAGGCATTCCTCACATTAGCAGAAGACATTCTTCAAAAGGTAGGTGTTTACAGGATTGGTTTGGGGGGAAAAAAAAAAAAAAATCCTAAAATTTCAGCTCCTATTGCTTTTGATGTTTACCTGAATTGTTGCAGTGTTTGACTTTGGCATGCTAAGACAGAGTCCCTCAAGGAGTATTGTACATCTAAAGCTTCGAAGCTTCTAAAGCTTGTTTGATGTAGAGGGAGTAGTATACATCAAAGAGCCAAGGAACGTAAACTTGTAGTTGTTTGGCCCTTAAACTCACAGTTGTGTCGTACGTGTGCTTGGAGTTAATTGGCGTGGAAGAGAATTGTCCTTTCCCTGCCGCTATCTCCATCAACTTGAGGAAATGGCCTCAAGTTGCGCCAGGGGAGGTTTAGATTGGGTATTAGGGAAAATTTCTTCACAGAAAGGATAGTGAAGCATTGGAACAGGCTGCCCAGAGAGGTGGGGGAGTCCCCAGCCCTGGAGGTATTTAAAAGACGTGTAGACGTGGTGCTTACGGACACGGTTTAGTGGTGGGCTTGGCAGTGTAGGTTAATGGTTGGACTCGATGATCTTAAAGGTCTTTGCCAACCTAAACGATTCCATGATCGATACACAACACTGTCTAAAAACTCTCAAGCACCTGTTGGGAAGAGTTTAGATGTGGTTGACAGAACCGATGAACGAGCTCTGTCACTTCCTACCTTGTTTCCGATGATCAGCCCTCTCAGCCTCTGCCTTTCGTTGGAGGTTTTGTTGGAAGGTTATATTGCAACTGAGAGAAGAACGTGGATCACCACTTCTTCCTGGTGGTTGGCTCCTCCTAAGATGTAGAGCGTACCATAAAGACGGCTGTCTCTTCTGTGGCCTGTACCCAAATCTTTGTATGCCGAGAGCTACAGGATGCTGCTCTACTTGTATCCCTGATATCTTCCATGAGTAGAAAAATGCATCGGCTTCCAGTAGCTGCCACTATTTTGTTGCAGGATTGAGCTGGGCTGGATGCGTGGGTGGCTCCAGGGCTGGTTCGTTAGCTGATGTACTCCCGGAGCCAAGGACTGGATTTACACAGTAACCCCTGTGCTAGCACGTTCCTGCCTGTGATCAGGCACTGCTTCTCCAGCACTGAAACTCCGTGGAGTTCAAGAAACATGGGTTGGCCAACTCTAGCATACGTGCTTTTGCTCCTAAACGAATGACCCTACGTGCTTTTTCTGCGCTCCAGCTTAGCGGTAGGGACTGCCCTGTATCGAGACTGCCTTCATCACCGTCTTCCACCGCTCTCCTGCAGGAAATGTCATCCGAGTCCATTGGTTAGAAATTTAGCGCAAGGTCAATGCCGAATCTTTTTGCAACCCTTGTAGATACGCATCTGCTCAACAATGTCTGGTTCACCGTTGTAGTTCCGAGTTGTTTCTGAACCAGTTTTTGACAAGCTTGATGTGAGAAACTGGGTGAAAATCGCTGGCCTTTGGTAAACGGGAGGTCAGGCTAGCAAGGCTAGCAAGTCTTACTGACCCTTTTGACCTTTGAATTTTCATTTTTGGGCCTCAATGTATTTGTCTGAAGAACGGGGTTGTGGCGGGGGGGTTTGTTGCTTTTGCAAGGCTGTGCCAAAGAGAATAATAAAAGGAATATAGAGATGAAACTGCAGTATTCTCATAAATGTTTAGGTTAGTTTCTAAACTGCTGAAAGTAGATGTTAGCATCTGACCAAAACCACTTAACTTTTGGTTTTTGCTTTGGTCTAACCAAGTTTACATCCCATGACGCAGGCAAGCCTGTTTTGTCCGCTGCCTCGGAAACTGGTGTCCTGCTTAACTGGAAGGCAGATGCTTTTGAACAACCCCTCTTTATCCATAAATTACTCTGTGGTTTTTTAAGGTCATTAGTTCACATAATTTAACTTCAGCTTGTGTTAGCTGTACACTGTGATTTCCTTACTCCACCAAAGCCCAAGTGTCAGTTTGAAGAGCAGGATCTAGAAATAGTTTTGAGTTTACTTTGGGGTGGTCCAAGTTCAAAAGATTCCTCCCCCTCCCCGCCTGGCTTTTTCCAGTCGTCCTTTATTTAAACCAAAACAAAACCCCCTTAAATAGGTTTTGCATACTTTTGCTGGCAAGGGGAGGAGGATTCCACAGCTCCACATCTCTGTGGAGCTCTTTGTCCGTAGTTTATTCATATTATTATTTGGTGATGTCAGTCTCTCTGTAAGCCGCTATCTCTTCAGCTCTGAATGCTTTATTTCGGGATGTCTCGAGAGTCCTCTAACTTTTTTTTCCCGCTTGTTTCATTGCAGACCCCTGTAAAAGAGCCCAACAGTGAAAATGTAGATATCAGCAGTGGAGGTGGGGTGACAGGCTGGAAGAGCAAGTGTTGCTGAACGTTCTCCTATATCACCAATCGCCATCCACCGCCCCTTTTTTCTCGCTGCGAAACAAACCACTCTGCCCGTTTTTAACCTTAAACCAATGTTTAGTTCCTCATCTTAACAAGTTCCTGTCTCCCTTTGTTTTTCCGTTTAGGAGAGCTTGCATACTATAATTTTCTCAACAACACGTGTAGGAAAATCATCTCCGTGACTTCATTTTTTTTTTTTTTCATGTACCTGCTCAACTTACCACTACGTTTTGGTTGTATTATAGTCCCGTTCCTCCTGACATTAAAACATAGAGCAATCATATTCAACTCTATCCTGCAAATTGTATAAGAATAAAAGTTAGAGTTAACAATTTATTTTGTACAACAGTGGAATCTTCTGTCATGGATAATGTGCTTGAGTCACCATGTTCCCTAGATGCATCAGCAAAAGAGCCAGGAAAACACTCATTTTCGCCTTGAGTATGTGAATGGGGTTTATTTTGTCCTGTGCCTTATGTGGAAAGGAACTTTTGTTTTCACTTTTTCTTTTTTGTTTGTTTTGTTCTCTTTCTTTTCTGCTGGTGGAAGCATGTGCAGGAGACATACCATCCATACTTGACCATTTTAAAATACTGAACTCTTTTGTGATTGCTTTCTGTAATTGTTGGTGTAATGCATCGAGGACAAAGGGTGGTGCAAAAAAAAAAAAAAGAAAAAAAAAGAAAAAAAAAGAAAAAAATTACATTTAATCTGCTGTGTCTCCTTTTTGGTGATCTAGCCATTCAGAACTGTTCCTGCTGCCATTTTTTTTTTCCCCCCCCTCACTTGCAGCTCTTTCCTTTTGCCTGCATGCTGCTTTTATTTGCATTTCTTCATGGTGTGATGTGTTAATTAAAAGGATGGCAACGTGGTATGTTTGCCAAAAACTTAATACAAAGCACTGATTTAGCTTTCAAGGTAAAAATGTTGAAGATACCTACTAATTTCCCTCTAGCCAATGTCAGTTCACTAGTATATCTTCTCTCTCCTCCTGCATAGCCGTTGGGTTTTATGATATGGAAGAGTTACTTGCATGCACTAGTTTTCTATGGAGGGTGATGTGGTTGTCTACTTTTATGTGTATGAATATAACATGCGATTCCCAAACTGACAGCAGTTAACATGAACTTTTTCAGTTCTCTCGTACCGTTAGCCGCTCCAACAAGTTGTTCGGTAGCCTAGCGAAAGGCTGAGCGAAACTAGATTTAAAAGGAAAAAAAAAAAAAAAAAAGGAAAAAAAAAAAAAAGTTGGCAGTTTAATTTATTACCTCCCCTGAAAACTTTCCATTTTCCGGCGTTAAAAGCTGAGTCGTTGGTACTTGGGTCAGCCTTGCCCTCTCTCCCCGCGCTGTGGGAACGCGGCGGGGATGAACTCGCTTTTCCAGCTCGCCTCCTCGCTTTGCCCGCAGCTCCGGGCCGGGCTCCGGGCTCACCCGTGGCGTTGGCTTCGTCACTCCTGAAGGGAGACGGGGTCCGGGACGCTCCTGCCGACGCGGGCGTTCAGGCTGCGGCAGCGTTCGTAGGTTCGCTTGCCTTGCATTTAAAATACCACCTAGGAGAGCTCCGGCCAAGGACAAAAATGATATTTTAAATAGATGATGCTTCTTCCCCGAGCCTCACGTTCTCCCTTTAAAGTCGGGCAAGCTCGTGCCTCGCTCTTGCCCGCTTGAGTTTCGGACTGCCTGCGGTAAATAGCGAAAGCAGTGAATAACGCTGGTTGAATTTTAACGCAATGACGGTGTTTTAACGTTGAACTTCTCGTTTTGAACGGCTTCCCGTGTAGTCACTTGGCCGAGGTGTCTGCCTTTCCCTCTGTATTTTGGCATTTTGTCTCCGTGTGTGTTAACCCTTCCCAGTCGAGTGGCTCTTGGGCTCGGGCAGGAGGCCGGGACGGGTGGATAAATCGGCGCCGTTTCGTTTTCTCGCGTCCCGCGCCTGCCGGTCAGCGTTGTAAATAGCGTACGGCTACCTTCCGGGTAAACCTGCACTTTCTAACGTTATCAAAAAGGGAAAAATGGAGAAACATACATCAAGGGTTTGGTGGTTTTTTTTGTTTTTCTGTTTGGTTGGGGTTTTTTTGGTTTTTTTTTTTTTTTTAAAATAATCCTTGTTTTAAACGTGAGCTTTTTATTTGCTTCCAGGGGCTTGGCTCCCTCTGTGTAAAATCCCGCGGGATCCTGTGTAGACGCTGTGTTCATTGCAAGCCAACAGGTAGAGAACAGGCCACTCGCTGGTACTACTAGCTCCCACCTCCGGTTCGTATTCTCCTTACCGAGTTAATAAACTGAACTATTTCTAGACGGTCTACTTGTAAAAACCATGAATTTTAACCGCGTGGCTTGGCTTTGTTTTGTGTTGTGGAGTGCAAGGCCCAGCCGAGGAGGAGTGAGCAACAAGAGTCGATGCAGATGCTAAAAAAGAAAAAAAAAAAAAAAAATTAATAATAATAATGATGTTGGAGGAATTTGCAGTAACTTTATTTCTGCCGGTATCTAAACTTCCTGCTAGCTAGCAAACTAACTGCTTGTGAAATCTCTACTTGGAAGTCCCTCCCCAGCCCTTTGCGTGGAATAAAGCCTAAGGCCAGCCTGGGAAAGGACGCGAAAGCGGCTTTCGCCGTGCCCAGCTCTGCCCGG